GCTATACTAAGTGGCTCTAGATGGGAACTTGTAGGATGACGTCCAGGAGGTGCCTGTCCGCATTGAATCTTGTGAGACCAAACCAATGCCTAAAGAAGTTTGCAGTTTATCCTTGGCTTCAGGTGCCATGCTGCTGGTTCCAGCTGATAGAGTTTGTACGTTGATGAAGATTTGAACAAACAAGGACGAAAGCTCGTGTAGACATTAAAAACCCGTAAGCAAAAAGGGTGCTCTCTTTTATATCCTGTCGACAACCCCTGCCCCATTTTACAACTGAATCCTTCCAACGGAAGTACTCTGTCCGGTTGTCGAGACTGGAACACATGATCAATCGATTGACTTTGCGTAGAGGAGCAAGCCCATATTGTCTTCTCCTTTTCTTCGGTGTCTAATTCTTTCGTTTTTATAATATTCAAGATGCTCTATAAAGGGCCACTCATTAGGTGTATTCCGTTAAATTAAGGATTTATTCCGACCTTTCTTATTCGCCAACTAAGTTTATCGTCTATTAGATCCTTTTGACTTGTTTATAATAGCGAACAAATATCTTCTAATTCGTGTCCAAGGCAGTAGCGTTTTTAGTTTCTTTTAATCGTCGGCTATTCTTGCCCCGGCGGAGCCGTAGGCATATAAATTTCCTCTTTGTTATAGTTCGAAGAGCGATATTCGAGTCGGCCTACCTCAAATAAGGAGAAAGCCAGTCTTACATCCCTTCCGGCTAAAGGATTTGATAGATAATTATAAGCTTCTGATCCGACTTTCTCTAGTTATAGTTTAATATACCTTTTCTATCGATCGCGTATACGTGCTATTATTTCCTTAGTCCTATCTAGCCGGAAGTGTTCCCCTGTCGAGTGTTCTGTTTTCTTAAAGCCTGCCTAGGTCCACTAACGCTTCCGCGACAGCGAAGGCAACATCCAGGAGCTGGATATGCTTGGGTTCGACGCCCACGTCATTAACAAGGGCCGCCGGCTGCAGTTCTGGCTAATCAATCACCGGCCGCCACTGGATGTATCGACTGGAAAACCACTGCTAGACACAACCAAAGTAGGGGCTAATTCGACTCTGATGTGTACGACCTCGACCTACGTCATGGTACCCAGCTGGCCCACGTCAGAATGATCGTTGGCGAGACGATCATCTCGTCAAACAATCTCGTCGTCATTTAGGACAACGGAGACAAAGGAGGGTTCTTGTTCAGCAATGTCCACAGCATCAAGTTCAACCCTTCTTGCGATAGGGGGATATGTGGAAGCATCTACTATTGTCGCACTGATACAGGCAAGTGATATTTCGCCGCCACCGAAAACCTCTCTTTCCCAAATTGCATCACAAGCGATCCGATCGGGCCATATTTACGTCGCGCACTCTGCCGGGGGCATTGTTATCGTCCACCGGCTGGTAGACGACGCGAAGTTCGTTTAGTTTGACGAAGGGTCATTATCTATGGGAGTTCACAATCTGTCGATTGATACTGACGTGAACATCTTTGCTGCTACTGTACCTGATCATCACCAGTTCATCCGAGCGTTCCATGACTCTTATAGCACAGATTCACCCTAGGCAGTGATGATGATCTGAAAGAAGAGAGGTGGCATAGAGGCATCATCTATAAAACAGGAGTACGATATTCTCAAGGCTGTGGAGGATAGGGAGGCACGAGTCCTGCCAACTACGACGAGCGCACTACATGACCCGTCTCAGGCCGACTGTTCCTTGGGGCTTTGTCCTCGCCCTTTATGGTGGCCTGCGAGAAGCATAGATTGGTGCATGTGTCATGTACTTATGTTCTGCCTCCAGGTGCAGGTTGCGAATAATGAAGCACTGTCGTTGCATGGGAAGACATATCACGAATGATAAGTAGCTCTGAGGGAGGGAGCCTCGGTCCTATATTGCGCAGAGATTGTAGCAGTTCTCAAATAGTGATGCTGAGAAATATGAATGTCAGAGGGGCACTGAGGTAGGGGTGTACAACAGGTACGGTATCATACGGAATGCAGTCGTTCTTGTTGGATCCCCTGTACTGTTGGCACTGTCGTGACACCCAGATATCCACCACTTATACGTCAGAGTTAGACCTGTATTTAGTGAGTTGTGATTCACAGAACTCCATAACAATACAACTATCATACACATGCTACAAGAGTTCTGGACAGGGGTCTATTCATAGACAAGTATTGCTTACACCTTAGCTAAATAAGGTGTCTAACGAAAAGGAAGCTAAATAGGAGGTTCCTTGACCTAAAATACAATAGAAAATTATATAATAGATTTAAATATTTACCTAGTACGGTGTCTACTCCGCCGATTCCGCGTTCTACAACGGGTCCTCGATTTTAAGAGTATTATAGAGCTTAGTAAGGCTAGTAGTATCGGATATGATATTGACTAGTATAGCTACTAATTTACTAATCGCATATAGAAAATCCTAATAGTGGATAATGACTAGAAAGACGCAGGGTAGACAGGTCACAGTTGCTCTCGGCTGACTAATACATACGAATCCCATGACCCAATTTCTCCCGCGTCACCCTCGCCTGCTTAAAAGATATATGAGAAAAATTCCGTTGATCAAATACCATTCACGAAATACAGCGTGAATTTTATGGTCAATTTCCAAACAATGTTCACTGGTCAGAATTAATTATCAAAAAGCGCGGCGGCTGTCGTCATCTGCGTGGCAAACGTCATGTGGGTGTCATTTTTGGAGGCGCCAGGAACAGGACAAGGTGGCAATAGCATCAACAAATCAACAGTTGATGAAATCTTATATTATACTGCTAAATTCTGTGGTGGCAATAAATATTGATTAACCAGATATTTTTTACCCAGCCGCATCTCGTTGATATAGACTCTATTCGCATAACGGCGCAATTGAACCTATCTTTGGTGAGTTATAACCCTCCAAAAAGAAGACTGCCTTATGGAAAAATCGACTAATTAAATTGGCCAGCATGAAGTCATTGACACAAGTTGTCTGTCAGCATTCTCGGCATGTGTTCGCCCAGACACATCGACTTGTCTAGACAATACCCTCGACTCCATATTGAACCCACAAGCTACGCTAGGCGAATGGAGAACGCTTGTTCGTTGTGTAGCGTATAACTTTATTTCCCTGGTGAATCTTCTCGAACAAAGAAAGTCCGACAATCTGATTAGGCCTTTGTTGAGCCTGGCGCAAAGGATCCAACGTGACCTCAATGTAGCTCTTACGAATGGGAATGATTTATGGTACGTTCTATGTCTGCTTGCCTCAAACCCACTCAAATCCTTTCGCGCCGAGTAGGTGTTCCTCGAGCCTAGGCTTGACCCCTCAGTGGGACACTGCGGAGTCAGGAAAGAGAATTCCAGAAGGCCCACTGAGGAAAGTCAAAAACACAGCCGTTAGATGTTGACAGTGGAGTTTGTAGAAGAGTTGCTTTTAGGCGAGGAAGGACTCGCATGTGAAGCAGAAATTTCCATCACCACACCCTGGGAGAAAAGGGACACACGTGTACCCAATGAGTGAGGTGGATTTCAGCCTAAATTATGGCACATAATAAACAAGAGACTGTGGTTGCGACGCCTTTGAATTGTCTCCAACATTGTGCGACTTTTTCCAGCCGCTGCGTCACGGACCCATTCATGTGTAAAGGAAATTAGAGTAAACCCATGGTTGGCTGGGACCAGGGTTAAATACCTCAAGCTATGATTGGTTTATTTACAGTATTGCCCTGCCAAGACTATAAACTCTACTATGATTGGTTGTTGTTATTAATTGGTCAGCCAATCGCCTTGCTTTTTCTCCTGAACCACAACACAATCATCCGTGGCTCTCGAGCTGCGAGTCACAAAATTCAATCCATCTAAGGGTCAGGGGGAAGAAATCCTATTTCAATAAACAACTATTAGGTGCAAAATTGGAGGGATATTACGCGTAATAAAAGGGTATGTTCCTATACTTCTGGGCATGTAGGTCTAGAAACATGCATCGGCCACACTCAAAATCCTTCCAGATCTTAGTTTCCAGCAGTTCCGTCTAGAATCCATGAGTCCTGGGCCAAGACAACCTGGTAATCAAGGCCCACACTAGGCCCTCTTTTGTCCATTTAGCCCGGCGATCCAGTTCGCAAACTTTGACTGTCGCTTCCAGACTGGCACAATCCTCTCAAGCCCATCCAGTGCTCCATTTTCGGGTAGCATTGGCGTCCAATCTTCAATTGATTATTTCCTCTAGTTACTCCGTGGCACATAAACTGTACTCGGTACTTCCTAGATTCAGGCTCGATTTGCGTCCAATGGAGAACAAGCGTCTCCGCGTGCTGGAATCGTGGATGCTCCGGCCATCCTCCGGTAAGCCATGCGGCCCCTGACCCATCCACTGCCATACCTGGACACTACCATATACACAGGCCCACTGTCCGACAGACAAGGGACCCGCCAATGACGAATGTCCGGAACACTCTATCATTCTAGACTGACTGTGGTTTGACCCGACGCCCAATCATACTTATCCACCAATCTAATGTCCAACGTTTGACCCATGGCCCGGAGTGCCCCCGATTTCACCTCCAATGGTTTCTTTTACATCGAAGCCCTAACCCACCGCACCCCGGAGAGAGTTGGTCTCGGCCTTTCTCAATTCCATGGGCATACGACGCCTTTCCTCGTCTGAACTGCCTGACGTACGTGCGCCCCCAGTGTCCACCACGGAGAGAGGGTCAGGTACCAGGCACCTTTGGTTTCATCCGTTTGGTTCTGAAGTAGGCCTCGATTGGAGGCGAGCGTGGCGGGGCTGCAGATTTTGTCTCAACTCTCCAAAGGTATTTATACCTGGGCCATGTCTTGCACATTTGATGCCTCTTTCCTCTCTCCAAACCATTACATTCATTTTAAGGAACCACAACTTCTGTCATTCTTTACATAAGACACAGACACTCATTCGAATATCTTCATTGATATCTCTTCTTCCTTCGTGTCTAACTATCCAACAACTCGAAGTTCCATCTTCCTACAACACAATGCAGCTCTCCAAGTCTTTCATGCTCCTTGCAGCCCTCGCCACGAGCACCCTCGCCCGCCCAACCACTCTCGAGCGCCGTCAGGCAACTGGAACCTCCGGCGGCGATTGGACTTCCACCCCCTCCAGCGGCAGCTACTCGACCTCTGGCTTCGGTAGCTCAACCGCCTCCTCCGGCAGCGGCGTGACCTACGCCGGAAACGTTGGCAACCCCTACGGCAGCAACATCATCCAAGTGTCATCCTCGGACGCCAGCCAGTACAAGTACGTGGCGCAATTCCAGGGCTCCAACACCGAAGACTGGACTGTCGCCATCTTCAACAAGATCGGGCCGGATGGCCAGATGACCGGCTGGTACGGCAACGCCTGCCAGACCTTCACTCTCGCCCCCGGTGAGACAAAGTACGTTGCCTTCGATGACGACTCGCAGGGTGGCTGGGCTGCCGCATCTGGTACCACTATCCCCACCGACGGTGCCGGTGGCTACGCCTCCACCTGGGGTGAGTTCGACTTTGGTTCTACTGCCAACAACGACTGGTCTGGCTTTGATGTTTCCGCTATTGCGGCTCAGAACGCTGGTCTCACCGTTAATGGCATGAAGATCTGTGATGTGCTCGGTGGCACCTGCTCTTCTATTTCTCCCAATGCTGCTGTCGTTGACAATGCTTATACCTCTGCCGAGACTAACGTCGGTGGTATTGGTGGTAACATCTCTGGCGGCGCTGTTCGGTTGGCTGTTACTATTGACTACAGCGGCTAAATCTAAGAGCACTCTTGTTTTCTTTGATTTCCATTTGATATGATGTTGAAGATAGACTTGTGTTTTTTTGTTTCTTCTTTCTAGGCCATTCTGTTGTACGGGATGGTCTCCAGCTGGAATGGTTTCGCTTCTGTGTCAATATAGAGACTTAGGCTGGTCCTCTTTGTTTGGATTTCAAATATACCACATTCGTTCTGAATTTCTTTCCAACGGTAATTACTATTAGAATACTCAATTGTCTAAGTTAAGGCGTTGTGGAATGTTCCAATGTGGCGGGATGACCGCATAATTGCATGCGCAACCCCCCACTATGTCGCCGCACCGCCACAAGCCATCTACAATAACTACGGTAGCGTGTTTCACAATTTACGATTAAACAATAAATAAACTAGAAGAGCTAAAATTAAGTCTTGTTTCATCCCGAGATCCATTCATAACGTAGAGTGACATATCGACAAATTCATTATTGACTTCGTATCCGCTGATCAAATAACACAATTTACCCACGTAGCCCTAACAGCTTACTTCCGGGGGCTAACCAGACCGTATAACTCAAGCGGCTTGATACTGAAAGCACCGTTGGACTCAAGCTTGTAGTTGGGATCCGCCAACTCGAATTTGTTCTCCTTGAGAATGCTAGCCAGAGTGAAGAACGACCACCGCCAAGCCCAGATCTTGCCAATGCACTCGCGCTTACCGTTACCGAAGCCCTTCTTCGCGGCAGCAGGGAGCTGGTCCCATTTCTCACCGTAGACACGCTCGGGCTTGAAAGCCTCGGGGTCCTCAAAGACAGCTGGGTCGCGATTCACCTGGCTGAGGACGGCGATCATAGGCTGGTTGTGGGCGATTTGGTACTCGCCGCCGGCGAGAAGGACGGGGCTCTTGTCGTCGGAGGGAATGGGCTCAATGTTGAAGCCGGGGGCGGTGGCGGAGAGACGAAGCGACTCGCGGAGGATGGCCTCAACGTAGTTCAGGCTCTTCAGGTGCTCCAGGTCGATCTTGCCGTCGCCGACGACGCGGTCAATCTCCTCCTGTGCCTTGGTGATCTCGGTCGGGTTCTCCATGAGGTAGTACAGAGCGTAAGAGACGAGGTTGGGGGCTGTGGCGGCGCCGATGAAGCAGGAGATGATTTCATCAATCACTTGCGACTCGGTGAGCTTCTCGCCGCTCTCGGGATCGCTGCCGTTGAGCATGGCATCCAGGATATCCTTGCGGGCGGTCTCCGGGTTTTCCCTCCGGGTCTTGATCACCTCGGCGGCGAAGCCGCGCATGATCTTGGTGTCCTTTTCAAAGCGGCGCTGGTACACGAGCCAGTTCAGCAGCTTTGGGCGGGTGGGGCGCTTCATCGCCTCCATGGTGGCGCCGTCCATGGCGTTGAGCATGGGTGGCTCGGCACCTTCGAGCACGTGAACGCGCTGGTTGAAGAAACATTTCATGCAGGATGCGAGGAGTAGACGGTCGAGGTCCTTTGTGAGCAGAGTGCGCTTCTTGGTGCCTGAGCTCCACTTGTTTGTGAGGTCCGGGATGACCTCTGCCATATCGCCGAAAAGGTTGTCGGTCGCGGATTGAGTGAGATGAGGCATCATAATGCGGTGTGCAATTCCCCAGCTCTTTTCGCTGTCATAGGCCGTGAACAGACTGTCGTGCACGGCATATCGGATTTCCACAACTGGGCCTGTCACACACTTGCGGAACCGGGTCTGGTCGCAGATCTCCTCAAGCAATGCAACACTACCGACGAAGACAATTTCGTGTCCCAGGGCATTAATTTTGAAGATAGAGCCTAATCAAAAGTTAGCTTCTGTGATTCCGACAGCTTCCTTCATAAAAGCTTACCAAATTGCTTGGCCAAGCTGTTCAGCGAGTTCCATGTCTCATTGGGATTGACATCGAAAATATTACCCAGGAGCGGAACTCCGCGGGGCCCAGGGATCTGAGTAGGCATAGCGCTGGGGAAAAAATGGAGGGGATATCACTATAATACACAAACGATGGCTAAGAGGTGAAGTTTGGAGGGAAAAAAAAAAAAAGAGCTCTCCCGCACGGGGCGGGGGGAGCAAGACTTAAAAAAAGCGTTCAGCATTGGATCTTCAGCTCTGCATCTCCGATCGACAGATCAAGTTCGACCCAGTCCACTGGCGGGGGGTATCTAGCGCTCGGGCACTCCATAGGTTCATAGGTTCGAGCTGAAGAGATCGGCGCGGTTGCGATGTAATAGCGCAGATTGGCGGGCGCCGATCGCACCAAGATAGGAAATCCATCAGAATATCTGGAGCCCATCTGCAGCCATCTGGAGTAGGCAAAGCGTACTACTGGCTGTAGTGCAACCACTGAGGGCAATGGGGTTCATCACAATTGTCAGCCAGGAAGCTCCTGCGGAATTTTGTGCTGCACCCTGCTGCATTCCCTGGATTCGTCTCCACGCATCTTGACCGCCTGATCGTCTCGGCTTGACTGACTGCTTTTGACTCTCGTGTTGGATGTGATTGGAGCTGGCTGCAAATAATGGATCATATTTCATTGTCAGCATGAAAGACATGACTGTGTGTGGCTGCCGTCGGGTGGGGCAAGGGTGGAACTGACATCATCGAGACACCAGCCTCCCCTTTCAAGGGCTGGTGGTTTGCAATAAAAACCCCCTTGATCACGTCGTGCATCCGGGTAGTATCAAGCGGGGAACTATTCAAGGGGCTCCTTGTGACAACCATAAAGTTGACCCTTGGTCCAACGCGGGTGCTCAACCTATAAAAAGTGGGGCTTTATCTCATGAACTACACGTGATCTCTCTCATACCTCTATGGGCCTCGAACCTCAATCCTATAAGAATGACCTAGGGCTAAATATATCATAGTTTCCTTAGCTTTGTGATGGTTCTTGATCAAATTGATTTATGTCTGAATACCCCTTTGACGTTATCTAAGCTGAAACAGATTGCTTTATAATGCAAGGATTCCACATGCATATCAAGGGATCGTGTAAGCATTTGAACACATTCCTAGCTGTAATATAGAATCCTGATATCAGTTACTGGCTTATCTAGGCGTCCTTGTATTTGCCGGATTGCCACTCCTCCAGCAAGGTCCCAGTCAACGTCGCATGAAAGTCCCACGGCCGGGGTAAAGGATAAATCGTACAAAGCTTGTGTCGACTCCAAAGGTTGTTACATGAATCGCAAATCTCACAACACCATGCCCCTACCACTATATTATACGATCCGACGTCGTTACACCACGCGTGGCTGGTTTTCCGAATGTGATTCATGCAACGTTTTTGGATCTTCAACCATTCTTCACGGGAGAGCCGCTGACCGATGCCGATGTATTTCAATTTTGGAATCTCTTCCGTGCTGCAACTGGGGGCATCGTGGATATGTTGGGTGGTAATTATAACACTACGTGGACCTGAATATTTTTGAAGGTGAGAGACTGAATATCATTCCTCTGGCTGCTGGAATAGCGATAACCATGTCAAACTTTGGTATTTGTGGAAAACTGTCTTCAATATCCAGGGCACTGAGGTACAGAATTTGATCACAATACCTTAACAAAGGCCTTGGACATCAATTCGATGGTTCTAAGTGCTCCTAGATACTAGATGGATGATTAGCAGTAACGATTATCATAGTTTTCTGCCTTGTCAAGATAGTTGTATACGACATCAGCCAAACTCTATACATGATGCGAATGATGGTCAAGGCTAGACGGCAAGATTGATGATGATGAGTGCTCTGATACCGCATTTTTGTAGGAGAGAATACCAAGGAGAACCTTTCTTTCACATGCTAACCCATCTACTTGCCCATAATATATTCGTCGATAGCGATTGGAATATCAGATGTGTGGTTGATCTCGAATGGGCCTGCTCACTGCCAGCAGAAACCCTCCTTCATATTGGTCGCCAGGTCAATACCTGTTAATCTGCAGTTCATGATCTCGCATTGTGGTCAGCAACAGTTCCACATCGCCTGTGACGTTGACTGGACACGAAATGGTAGGTGTCTTCCGACGACGGGTGGAGTGGCTTTTGGAGAGAAGTGGATATGGCTGGTAGGGCCCGGGAAAAATGTGATTTCAACAAGTGGACACAGAGAGAGTGGGAGGAAAGAAGTGATCCTGTTGGCTTCGAAAAAGAGTAAGTTTGTCATGTAGCTTGGGGTTACCTTTCTTTTCATTTCTGTTCTTCCTCCATCATCAGCTAACGCGGACCGCAGGTTAGCTAAATGGTGATGAGTCTGAATGAGCTACAGGCGCAGGCGTAGAGAGTTTCGAATTCGAGAAGGATACAGGATACTGCTGAGTGGCTGACTCTTCAGAGAAGGCAATATTTGGAGTCATAGAAGAAAGCGAGTAAGATGAGGCCGCAAAACTGCAGGCAAAAAAATCCCGAAGAACTTTATCAACGTCAATCTCATCTTTAAACGCTCTGTTGCATGGCCTTTGTGAAGTTGCGCAGAACCCAGGGCCAATGATCGACCGGAGGATCTACATGTAAAAACCAGAGAATAAATAAACCCGATTGCAAAAAAGCGAAAAGGGCACCAAATTATCAGACAGGAGATGTTTCCCGGAATACTATTCTTTGATGGCTACAACGGTCCGAGCATAAATCAGCGGTGCTAACTAGGACCATCCATCATTTTAATCGCGAACCACTAATTACACCAGACCGTGATTGGGCCATCGGATCTTGTTATAATACTGTCGAGGCCAGAAAGCTACCTAGAGTCTTAGGGCATGGCTTGCGTCATGGGCATAAGTCGGTGATCATAACGTAGAAATCCAGCCGAGCCCCCGGAAGATAATGGCAGACCCGCAATGTGAGTCCAGGCACCTTCTCGCATATTACGGGATTCGGAAGACGCTAGTTACATATTTCCACATTTGGACTGGCACAAGCATCCGGCCTAGCAGTTCGGCATGTCGAGCAGATTTGGCCGGGTAGATCGGGATCGTCGCACCCGTTATCGGGCTGACAGCTTAGTCGGGATTGCGGAAAGCTTC